CAGAACATTGTCAGCTGGCCTGGGCGCAGATCCCCCTCCTGCTCAGTGATTTGAACCATTGTATACTAAACTAACTGGGAATTTGGGAAATGAAATTAACAGTTTACTTCATCCTGATACCTGTGCTTGCTACTGGAATACGTTTCCCAGATTCCATCTCTGTAGCATCTCTCTAGCTAGCTGGTTTAGCTAGCTGCTAGCTACTGTGAATTTATGCTAATGTTATAACCTCCAGTACTCCACACCAATTTCTCATTATAGCATATATCATCCCTTGTCATTAGACTTATAAAGTCCCTAAATACATATTTCCTCCATTTGAAGACTGTCCCAGATTACCCAAAGCATGCTGTCCCACATTCTCAATCATATTTGATAATGTGGGACAACAAAAAAGTGTTTGAAAAAAAAAAAAAACCTAAAACGCATTTTCAACACTTTAATACATATTTTGTTGCTTGAATAGATCACAAACATAATTTGACAACAATTAGGAACATTGTATTATTTATGACAGATTTATGTCCTTAAGATTAATCTAGTCAGAATCCTGTCACTGACCTTGTCATGCAATTCCCAGGGGAGCTTCTTGATTGACAAGTACCCCGCCCCTTTCTGTGGTATCGCCCCAATGAAGTCATGTGATTTCAGTCACATGACATCTATGCTAAAATTATAGTAAAAGTCCCGTTTACTAAATTTGGTTAGAACAGGAAATAAACACACTGGAGTTTAGGTGTCCCAGATTACCCGAATTCACCCTACATGTTCCCTTGAGTTATTTAGGCTATTTAGTTACATCAGAGTTCAAATTTTAATTTTTCCGAGAGACATCCACCTTCTACAGGTAAAAAGTCAGCAATTATTTTATTCCCTAAAAATCAACTGCTATAAAATGCAGTGAAAATGTCATCTGTAATGTTTGAATGCATCTGATTTGAGAACTCAGTATCAGTGAAACATCATGCCACAGTATTATAATGCTATTAAAGCTCAATGCTGCCACCTACTGTTCTACATATAGAACAGCTAGACAAGGGAGTTTATATAAGAACAAAAAGGTAAAGTTTCAAATATGGAAATATATTTGCTTATGCACTTCTATTAAAATAAAGGTTCCAAAAGAGTGTTTTAGCAGCAGTGCCACAGAAAAACCACTCTGGGCTCCACAGAGAACCTTTTGTTGAAAAGTTATTAAAATAATCGTTTCCCCCCGATTTATTTTTTCAATGGTCTTTTTTTTTTAAACAATTTTTCCTCTATAAAGAACCTTTTGTACAATGGAAGGATTGAAGGATACAATGTTAAAGGTTCTAGATGCCAATTAAGAACCTTTAAACAGAGTAGTGTGTACAAAAGTAAAGTTACCATGTAATTGTATACAAAACAAGTAAACGAAAACTCTAAGATTTGCACAATCTTAAAATAACAAAGGTTGATTGGATTTAGACCGCAGCAGAATGCAGTATCAGCTAAGATGGTGTGTTTGATTAATAGGGGGTTGTAATGCTACTTTTTGTTTTCTGATAATGAAAAAAAAAAAACACGACAACTGCAAAGAACTTCAGAGATTATATACATTCAATGCAATCTTGCCTAAACCTTTGTGATCTTGCATCTTTTACATTCAGTAACCATAATTAAATGATCTAAGAATACAAAAAAGATAAGATGAACCTGGACTTCACTTAAATTCTGGTAGCTAACCAGATGCCATTATGTATTGATGGATATATTTATCTTGTCAGATATGGACATTATGTATTGATTCATTCTGGTAAACCATCTAAATGAACTAGTCATCTGTTATATTTCATGTTGGACTGAAAGGTCCCTTTGGGATTGGATGGGTTCAGTTTGCTTTAGTCTGGTTTAATTCAACAGCACATCTAAACAGCTCATCTGCATTGACAAGTTTGTCAGCCACCTTGACTTTGAAATGACTGTCATCCCCTCCGGATCCTCTGGAGCAGAGAGAGGGTGTGACAATACTCACATGTGCAAACGGTCCTATTAATCATTCCACAGATCGCTCTCCTTGCTTTCCTTGGCCTCCAAACATGTTACTTTTATGTTCCTTCTGAAAAGAGATCAGATGACACAAAGAGATATCCATTCACAGCCTTTCGCTTGAACTTATGTTAAGCATGTTGTTAATGTCTGTGTTAGTTAATATTTTCTTGAGTCTATTGTTTTATTGATTACAATGCTTGAATGGCGAGAGCAAGTACAGGAAAAGACACCATCCATTTACACACTTTTCCAATAAGTGTAATTCTACACAATATGCTTGTGCCAAAACAATATTTCTGTATTAGCGTACAGTCTGTTTATTTTTAGCCTTAGTA